CAAAGCATATTTTATTATTGTAAAAATGATGATCTGTCACACACAGTTTTATCCTCCTTATGTAAGTCTTTTAAGAAAATCAGAGCATTGTTTCACATCATAAGTTGAGTTCTATGAGGCCAGTTCCATGATTCATCAGAATATTATGATCCATGAATGATCCAGCTCAATTACCAAAGTGTAATTGAGTAATTGAATGTCTTGAATAATGACCACCTTATATCTATCTCTTAAGTTAGTCTTCTTGGATGCCAGTTCTATTGCATGGAAAATAATTCAGGCTAAAAGTAAACATCATTATAAATTTAAAGGGAAGGCATAGTATGACCTTTTTTTTTTGTTTTCACCCAGTGCACGACAAAGAGAAGCACTGTTATGTGTAGTCTGCTTTAGTGGGGTAACACCCTAGTTTCTTAGCTTAGTGCCTCTCAGGTACACAACAACATTCCCAATTGAAGCTCCTGAGCTACCCCCCATTACACATTAAAAAACAAAATGTTTCCAGAGCATTGAAAGTATGGAGGCAGAAGTCATGAAATGCTTCCTTCTACTATACTAAAACTTGAGAAAGACAGCATCCTGCTGACTGTACAAGACATGAGAGCAAAGTGGAAAAGGCTTCCTGATGACCAACTGAATGGATTGTGGATTTTCTATGGGGTTGCTAAACATTGCTTCCACAATTTGGTTTTGATATGCATGATACTTGAACTTTTTTTTTTTTTTTTGGTCGGCCGTGGAGCTTGAACTCTGGGCCTGGGCGCTGTCCCTCAGCTCTTCAGCTCAAGGCGAGCGCTCTACCACTTGAGCTACAGCGCCACTTCCGGCTTTCTGGTGGTTTATTGGAGATAGGAGTCTCACAGTCTCTCCTGCCTGGGCTGGCTTTGAACTGCGATCCTCAGATGTCAGCCTCCTGAGTAGCTAGGATTACAGGCGTGAGCCACCAGCGCCCGGCACTTGAACTTTTTACTGGCCCCCATCAGATCAGAAATTAGAGCCCTATTGTCAAACACACAAGATAACTGTCCTAATATTCATTACCAAGCAAATAAGAATAAGTATCTGTGCTTTGAGTATCCACCAGTTTTGGACAATATGAAAGGGAAGCTAAACAAGTTGGAGAAATCCTTTAATAAGAATGCTTACATTGGATGATAGATTTATCTTTATGACTGGCACTTGATTATTTTCCAAAAAGATTGATATAATCTGCAAGTGTGAATATTTCAAGGTGTCATATCATTTGTAATTAAAATTTAAAATGAGCCTAGGCAATATTCCATATGGATATAGTTTCTCTTATCTATGTATCTCTCTTCATTTTGAAATAGTATTTGATTAAATAAGCCTTCTGATGCTATGATCACACTTTCCATTTTTAAATAAAACTAGAACTTTTTATGGTGTGATTGAAAAATAAATTTGTATACATTTATAGTGTACAACATGATGATTTGATATACATTGACATTGTGAAATGATTGCCCTAACCAAATTAATTAACATTGCCAGTTCTTACCTGCTCATCTCTCTATGTCATTTTCTCTCTTTTTATTTAAAAATTTTTAAACTTTATATTTAGGGGGGTTTTGTGATACTACGATTTAACCTCATTTAGTCACACTTCTAGCCCTTTTTGCTGGTCATTTGAAGATAGAGTTTCAGGATTTTCTGCTACAATGGCTTCAAACCATAATCCTCTAGATACCAGCCTAAGAAGCTAGGACTAGGATTACAGGTCTACAGCCACCAGTGCCTAACTTTTTTCTTTTCTTTCCTTCTATCATCCTTTCCCTCATTCTCTCTCTCTCTCTTTCTTTTTCTTTTTTTCTTCCTTTCTTTCTCTCTTTTTTTTCTTTCCTTCTTTCTTTCTTTCTTTTTTGAAAAACAATGCTTGAGGCCTACTTTTGTAGAAAATTTCAAATATACAATACAGCATTGTTAACTACAATCACCATATAAGAGCCTTCAACCATATATATTATTGTATAATTACAGGTTTAATATGTGCTATGAATGGAAATCTAAAGAACTAAACAAGCGCATGACAGGAGTCTGTTGAGTTTGAATTGCAAAAAGAAATGTCAGATAGCAGTTGTTTCTGTGCATAGAAAACTCAGGGGTTGAGCTGGGCACCAGAGGCTCACGCCTGTAATACTAGCTACTCAGGAGGCTCACAATCTGAGGATTGTGGTTCAAAGCCAGCCCAGGCAGGAAAAGTCCATGATACACTTATCTCCAATAAACAACACAGAAAACTGGGAGTGGGCATGTGGCTCAAGTGGTAGAGCACTAGCCTTGAGCTGAAGAGCTGAGGGAAAGTGCCCAGGTCCAGAGTTCAAGTCCCACGACCAAGAAGGAAAGAAGGAAAGAAAAAGAAAGAAAGAAAGAGAGAGAAGAAAGAAGAAAGAAAGAAAGGAAGAAAGAAAGGAAGAAAGAAAGAAAGAAAGGGGAAGGGAGGGGAGGGGAGAGAAGGGAAGGGGAGGGGAGGGGAGGGGAGAGGAGAGGAGAGGGAGAGGAGAGGAGAGGAGAGGAGAGGAGAGAAGGCAGGCAGGCAAGCTCAGGGGAATCACAAAGTTGACATCATCAGCCACAATGGAAACCCTACATACTTAAAGATTAAATCAGTACAGATTCATAGGAAAGGGGGATTTACAGTAAAGGGGGAAAAAACCCCACCAGGAATGATACCCCATATAGCTGTGTGAAAAATAATGAGCCCAAGAAATAACTGTGAAACAAGCCAGGCCAATAAACTAGGAGTAAAACTCAGAAAAGATGGTATTCTGGGACTGGTGGAAGAGAAAGCTTTCACAGTGAGAAATCAAGTGAGGACAACACTACAAAGTCCTTTGGAATTAGCAGTGTGGCCTTTGGCCACTGTACAGAATGCTGGGGGAAAGCACATAAAGTAATGGCAGCAGATGCATATAGCCAGAACCAACAACCCCTTGGAGGAACTTGGCTGTGAAGACCCAGTTATCCTTGAAACACAGAGAAATTTTGCTTATTTCCATTTTTTTCCCTCAAGATATTTAAACACTGGTTGGAAAAGTAGACTGTGGCCAGTGTTCTACCTCTAGGAATCTGACTTCATCAGTGTAGTATAAGGTGTGAGAGTCGAGGTAGTTTTGAAAACTTTCCAGGTGATTTGAATGTACAGCCATAATTTCAAGCCACTATGCTATGTCGTGTCTGCCAGTATGTATAGTTTGGAGCCAGTCTACATGATCACCTAGTCTGTCATGCTAGTCCTCTGACAAAATTTAGATGTGCCCAACAGTTTCACAGGATCACCCCAGACCTGACCAAAGGCAGTCATCACCTAGTGTTAATCTCCGCTAACATGATAGTGAAGAATTCCCTGCCTCCTTTGATCTGCTTCAGTAGAAAATTTCAGAATAGTCATCTTTCTAAATGCGTGTTTCTAAACAAAGACAAAAGATTCACTCAGCTTTCTTCCTGTTTTATCTTGGTACTTCGACAGATCTTCCCAGCTCACTGACTATAAGCTGTTAAATATTAAGATCATTTCTTTCTACTCATTCGATGAATTATTTTTGAACTTTCTAATGTGTCTAGTTAATATTTAAATGTCTTTAAATTTTTAAAAACATGTAAGTATATACCCTCTTTGTAATTAGAGAATGGTACAACTGTACCATTACAGTAGAAGAAATGAGGCTCCAGAAATTTACATTAATCAAGATAACATAGACAAAAATAGTGTGAAAGAAGAGCACAAAGGCCCCTTGGTGGGTCATGTTTCCTCCATAGTGGTGGCAGTATTTTACACAAACACTCTATCCAGCTCATTAGAGAATGCATATGTATTACACCATACTTGCAGAGAGGGAAAAGCAGTAAGCTCCACAACAGTAGGAGATGATGGTCAGAATGAGCCATGGCAATGGCCACTGTCAGGAGATGGTGCATGCCAGCCAGGCACATGCAACAGAATACGTGTATTTAGCCCTCTCTATTCATGTACTTTGAGAGCTGGAGAGAAATCCCAGCCCCAATCCCGCCTTTCATAAAAATAGAAGAAGGGGTATCCTATCTCGTTAGTAGTAATGATAACATTCAGACATAGGTGTCTTAAACATATTCGGTGTACTCTTCCCCAGTTATATTACAATAAAAATTAAAATACCCAACTATTCATACTTGGGGACTGGCTGAGTTAAAAAAAACTTGCTCTAGAAGTCTCTAAAATTGTTTTATAAGGAGATTCTCTATTATGGTAGTCAAAGGCCTATGCAGCTATTTAAATTAGAAAATGCCTCAATTTTAGCTTCTTATTTACTGGTCACATTTCAAGAGCTTCAGAATTTGTCAGTCTGTGCAGATCATTTCACTGTACTGCACTGATCTAACATCTAGGTTGTGCCATTGTCTAAATCATGGGCATTACTAGGTCTTTCTAACAGCATCCATACACTTAAATGTAAAGCCAAAAGCCATCTGACTTCTTTATTGGATATATGTGCCTATGGTTTTAAAATCATAACTATTAGGAAACAAGAATTCCCCAGAGGAAAAAAATCAAGTTGTAGATTGCTCATCCAGTAAGGTGACTACAAAATGAATCTCCTGATGCTACATTTACAGCAATAAAAAAGGTTGGAGAGTTAAGGATAATATTTAATTGTGCAATAATATATAGGAATCAAAAATTTATAAAGCTATGTAAATTGAGATAGTATAAGGGGGAATATGAGACTACATGAAATATGAAGATGTGTTCAGTTTCTTTTCTCTGCAGTTTTTTGATAATATTAGAAATCAGACCTAATGCCTTATACAATACATATTAGGCAAACTCACTGATCTACACCAATAGCTTAAAATATGAAACTTTATCTGAGAAGAAAAGTAACAGTAACAATACTACTCATGCCTTAGAAATATGTGTTCCTATGTGGTGTACATGGATAAGAAATACATATCTGGCTGGATATAAACTTTCTCTATAATTCTGTCTTCTGTTCTTCTTTCAGGTCAATGGTGGAGAAAAGCGGCCCGCCTCAGACATGGGGAAAAAACCAAAAACTCCCAAAAAGAAGAAGAAGAAAGACCCCAATGAACCCCAGAAGCCTGTGTCTGCCTATGCATTATTCTTTCGTGATACTCAGGCTGCCATCAAAGGCCAGAACCCAAATGCTACCTTTGGTGAAGTTTCTAAAATCGTGGCTTCAATGTGGGATGGTTTAGGAGAAGAGCAGAAACAGGTAAGAAAGAATCAGACTGCTGTGAGAATCCAAATGGTGTAAGATGAGACAGTTAATGTAATCTATGTACTCTTGAGATAGCTTCTGAAGGCTCTGGATAAATTCTTTAGATACCCAAACTATGATTTGGAATGCATCCCACGAGAACCAGCCGTTAAGAGAGGGCACATTATCTTATATTCCTTTATTACTTCCTTATAAATCATATATTAATTCTTTTGCTTCAGTTTATATAGCATGATTACTTTTGGAAGGACCTCTCCGTATCCCAGCCATGATTTTATCATGCTTTAATGTTGCCAATATGATCATGAAGACTTTTTTAAAAAGTTCTAAAAAGTATTTTTAAAAAACTGTCCACACCTCTCTTCAACCCTCATGGTTTACACTTTTGTCATCAAAACCCCTCTTTGCTCTTTGCAAGTGAACCTCAAATGTAAGGGTTTCTACCCTTAGCCATTCCCTAAAGACCACCAGGGTATGTTATTTAATCCCCCATATATATTTAGACCATATTTCCAGGCTGTGTTAAATAGAACCAGATGCCTGGTTTTTCTTTCCTTTCTTGTGAATTGCCATGGTGTGACGAGGGCTAGGCTTAGAGAGGGCCACAGGAGACACTCTGGCAGTAGCGTAAGTAGCCCAGGTCATCTGAATGAGGCATAGGGATTCTGTGAAGACAGCAAAAGTCTGGTAACTAGAGGAAGCCACTCCCATGAAGAAGCAATTGAATTAATCTCCTGTATCTAAAAACTAGGGGCTAGATGGCCATTGTCACCATGTAGACCCTGGTGGTGACAAAGGAAACCTAGAGCATATGATCATTAAATCATTGAAATGAAAATATGCCTTAACTATTACAGATGACCAAGTTGTATCCATAAGGTATTTATCTCATAGTTGATTCTTTTCTTTTATTGTGCTGGTTCTGGGGCTTGAGTTCAGGGTCTAGGTGCAGTTCCTGAGCTTTTTTGTTTGTTTTTATCCTGAAGATTAGTTCTCTACTACTTGAGCCACAGCTTCACTTCCAGCTTTTTGTTAACTAATTTGGAGGTAAGAGTCTCACAGACTTTCCTGCCCTAGATGGCTTCAAATCATACTCCTCAGCTCTTACTTAGCCTCCTGAGTAGCTAGGATTATAAGTGTGAAACCCCTGGGCATTCAGCTCATACTTGATTCTTGATGGACACATTTACCTTTCTTCAGAAAATCTAAGAAAATATGTAAAATCTAGAATATCTCAAACTTTTTAACTTATCTAGAATTGGCATATATTGTAATGATATATTAGTATCTGTAATACATAGGTAGTTTTTTTTAGTTTGTAAAGCACTATTGTGTTATTTTTCTCATTTGTTCTGCTCACTACTCTTAGGTATAAAAAGAATTATGAAATGAGATCAGGTAAACTGTATTTATTCATTTATTTACCCAACAAATATTTTTGAGCACTTAACTTACCAGACACTATTCTAGGCACTGTATATGGCAGAGACAAAATATGATGAGACTCCGTGTGTTTAATGACTAGTATAACACCATATAGCTGGTCCAATGAATTATTGTGAAGGGATGGCTAGAATCTACCACTTAACTTAAAAGAGGTTTTGGGTTTTTTATTGTTAGGGGCTTTTTGTTGTTGTTGTTTGGTTTAGTTTTTGTCCATACTGAGGATTGAACTCAGGGTCTTATGCTTGCTTGGCAAATGCTTTACTGATGAGCCACACTTCTAGCAGTTTCCTTGGTAAACACTGTGGCTCTTTTATAGAAATAACACCATCTTTTGTTGCTTATAAAAAGTAAATGTTTTAAAATCTGAGAATTTGCACGTAAGCAATAGAAAAACAAGGTATTAGGGGCAATTTCTGTCTCAGATGATTTACCCTAGGCCTGGTTTTCCTTACAGATGTATTGGTTTAAAAAAAAAAAAGAGTTGCCGGGGAAACATTGAACCTGCCCCCAGTTCTCATTAGACCCCTTTCCTGTAGGTCAAATTTGTCTTCTATACTATGCAATCACTATACACTTTCTATTTTCTTATGCCTATTCAAAAATAGCCAACCTGACCACATGATCTCTAGTAAAGCAGAGGCTAGCTCTGTGGACCACTGTGTAGTACGAGTCACTTCAAGGATGCCTAAGTTGCACACTACTGAAACTTTTCTCTGTGCTTTCAACTAAAATAATCCTCTTGCTTTTAATAGTTGACATTGTGTTCATGTGATTCCAACAAAAATCTAATATTTTTTCTGGGATTTTGGAAGATGGTTTCTGTCTAACCCAGGTGAATTTACTCTTAGACTCTCAGATGTGAGATATAGTTCCTAACTAATTTTGGAACTATTCAGAGATGATGTTCACCCCCTTAGAAGAGCATGGCTAAATGACAGAGTAAACACAAAGAGACCCAAATATCCCAACTGTTCTTGTTTCCTACCTTAGGTCATGTAGTGCCTTTCTGTTTCATTCATAATGTCACATACCCTCTGTCTCTGCCCTCATAACCCCTCTGTGTATTCTTTCTTAGCCATGAAGCTTCTGAAAAAAGCTTCAGGAAGTGATTCCTTTCCCTAGGGATTGTGTTCAGTAGCTCTTGCATATCAGAAGATCTATAAACATGATTTTTCCCTGCTCTATTTGAGTCAGTAGCTAAGCTAGAAATATTACTCCAAAACTCCAATGTACTGTATAACCTTCTGCTTTGTCAGAAATAACTGTTGTCCATATGAACTCTCAACTCTCTTCTATCTGTTCCTTAGACTCTGGCTTTCTTAATTTGTTCCTGTGTTCAAGACCAGTGTTTTTAAGAGGGGGAAATCTGTAAACATTTCTCTAGCTTAGCATTGGCCCTTTGCATCACCATTGTTAGCTGTTAAATATTGTTTCTGTTGCAAAAGGATAATGTTATATATGATCAAAATCAGATAATTAGATAATTCATCTCAGTAGTAAATATAAAGCAGCAGATTTATTCCCAGCAATTCTACTCTAATAAAGCTTTTTAATTTTAATATCACAAAAGGGAAATATTAAGAGAGCATTCCACATTCTTTCTATATGAAGATATAAGGTGTTTATAGACTCAAAGAATATGAGATTTGCTATTCTCACCTGTGATGTTAAAAAGGAAAATTGCTCCCTTCTCCCATTCTGGATTTCAAAATTGAGGCTGAGTCTTCTAAACATATGACATGATTATAAGTATGTTGTGGTATTCAAAGCTTTATAATTGCATACATGCAAGGGCACAACCTGTTCCCTTTTCTCTTTTGCATTTTCTTTCTCCTTTAATAAGTAACTCACAATTAGTATAACCTTTGGATTCTCTCCTAATAGAAAAAAAATGAAGTGTTTGGGAAAGAACCCATTATTTCAATAGAGGATGAAGTTGTAGAATAGTTGACCTATATACTTCTGAGGTCTTCTAAAACAAACTAATCATGAAAAGAACCATACTGAGATTGTTTAAGAAAACACTGTGAGAGAAATAACTCTCTTTTGTTTCTTATAGAGAGCAAATGTTTTCAAATCTCAGAACTTATTTAGGTACTGACATTATAAAGTACTGGGGGAAATTTCTGTCTAAGAAGATTTACCCCATACCTGGTGTTCCTTTCACTTCATTCAAAACTCAGTATACCCTATTCATTCCTCATGACCTTGCTCAGTTATGCAAGTGACAAAGCAAAGTGTTCATATAGGTTTGGTTTTGACACACATAGAATGCAATGTCAATCCAAGGGATAAGCAGAGGGAGAGTTGCAGGAGCAAATTGCTTAAAAAGGGAACATGTCACATAGATGCCCCACCACTCTGCTGCTCTTTGGCTGCCCTTCCCTAATAGTTTGCAAGAATTGCCAGAAAAACAAACAAACCTACCTCCAATGCACATTTGGGTATGTATCCAGCAAAATATCCCCAAGTGTTGTTATGCTATGTTACCACCTGTTCTTTGCCTTTATATAGACACATTGTGCCAACATACTGTAATAGCTGCTTCAAATTTAAATGAATTTATTTTACTCCTATCTCATATTCAAATTGGGAAGCACAGATATTGACACGAATGTGTGTGTGTGTGTGTGTGTGTGTGTGTGTGTGTGTGTGTGTGTGCTGTGCTGGAACTAAGGCTTGGATGCGATCCTTTTTTTTTTTTTTTCCTTTATGGCTGGCACTACCACTTGAGCCATAGCTTCACTTACAGCTTTTTGATGTTTAATTGGAGATCAGAGTCTTACGGACTTTCTTACAAAACCACAGTCCTCAGATCTGAGTAGCTAGGATTGCAGGCATGAGCCATTGGCACTTAGCACCGCTCTGTATTTTTAAAGGACGATTTCTGGAGCAGTTTATAGGTTATTGAACTTCAAGATTTTGAACAAACAGGTATGTAAAAAGAACAAACCCTTGCGATGCTCCTGGCATTTTATTGGTAGCTGATTTGTGGAGAAAGCTAAGATTTTCCTGTACCACAGTTGTTCAAAAGTCTTGTTATTATAATAACCCACAATTATGAACAAACGTAAACACAAACTGGGAAAAATGGGCAAAATCTTTGATTACTTATTGGAGAAAGAGATTCAGAAAAATTATAATCTTTAAGGAAACAGCTATTGTGAGATTACAATATTTTTAATTTAACTTAGTTTATATCTATTTTAGGATTTTTAATTTTAGTATGTATATATTATTGTTATTATAAAGGTGTGATACAGAGGGGTTACACTTATATGTCATTTCTTTTTTAACAGTTTCACCCCTTCCCTCACTCCCAGTTTTTCCCTCCTGTCCCCACACACAAGTTGTATAGTTCATTTTCAACATGGTATCTAGTGAGTATCACTGCTGCATTTGTTCACTCTTTGTCCAACCCTTTCTGTTCCCCTGTCTTGCCCTACCCCAAACTGATAAACCTATAAACAAGACAAAAGGTAAAGAAAACAAAAATCGCAGCAAGAAAATTTAAAACCTCTTGATAGCCAGAGGGTACAGCACTTAAT